TGCGCCGGCAGGAACTCCAAATAATTAGCAGCGGGTCGCGGGTCGCGGGTCTTTCTGTTCATTGTACCTTCAATGGAAACCAAACGGAAGCGCCCTTCGCGGTTTCGGGGTCTCCAAACTAGAAGCAAACTCAGAATTACTAACGTCGCCTTTTCTCTGAACCCCGTTGGGCCCAAGCCAGTGCTTCCGGGCAAGCCGCAATCGTAGGCTTGCTCAGGGGGCAGCCATGAATGATTAACAATAGTAGGCTTACCCAGGGGAAACCATGAATGAGTATTTAAAAAGAAGAAGAAACAAACTAGAGGCCAGGATCCCCCAAAGGTTACCTACTATAGTGGCAAAACGCCTTTGAAGCACTGGGTTTGTTATTGCTCCCCCAAGCAAACTAAGAACTTGCGCCTTTTGTTTGAGGCTGCTCTTTTTTTTCTGTGAACCCGGACCCCAGTGGGTCGAGGTTTCGGGATGACAAACCCAAGCCGACGGCTCGAACGCCGATTGCTAAAAACACGTCGAGGCCGTCACGGCGACGATGGCGCGAGGAGGTGTCCAGTCCGGTTAGGCGCGATGTGAGACTTTCGGGGCAAAGGCCGTGCCATGCTCCGTGTGCGACGTTCCCACGCTGAATGGTTCCTGGAGTTTCCGTGACCCTTTAAAAATGGGGGTCATGATCCCTGTAGTTTGGGTAGGTGGCCCCATTTGTTAAGCGTCATGGAGACCCCAGGTTGTTATTTTTGGCTTTCTTTTGTTCGGGGCGGGGGGGAGAGGAAGCGGAAATTCCCTTTAAAGTCAACCTTGGTTTAACCAGCAACCGTTTCTGATCAACAAAAAGGGATCCCTTCAAGTTGTTGGTATGGTCTCCTCTGACCAGCCTCTCCTTCGGGTTCGGTTCGAGCCCTCCAGAGTTTCCTCAAGCAGGCACTGAATATATTCCACGAATTCCATCTGATAACCTTTTTGGATGTCTTCTTCTGATGAAACACGTCTGATGTTGCATGCCCTCTTTGACTTCTGGGCTCAGGGCACTTTCTAGAACCTCACTGCTGCTCTGCCAGACCAGAAAGAAATTGCCTTCCTGCAGCATCCCAACCGCTGCCTACAGTTCACTCCTTTTTGGTATCATAGTGCAAAAGTGCTTCTCAAGATGCGGCCTGGAAAGAACATGACCCTGCAAAGGCCCGACAACTCCAGCTGAAACAGACATGCTCACCCGGCAAAAGGCATTCCAACTCCTGTAGGCTCCAAGAAGTAAACAAAATAAGGAAATGTAAAAGCAGCATGATCACCTCAGCCCAGTTGGTTCAATCTAGTTTATGTTTAACAACTACTGCAGAAGATCAAGTCGCCGCATAGCACTCAGCAAGCAGGGCGTGTGACTCAGTGATGTCAAATGCGTTTTTGTTTTCGCGCACGCGTCAAGGCATTTGTGTGTTCGCGTGTATTTTTGTTGTTTATCGTACGTGTGTTTATGTACGCCCTCTTGTGATAAAGGCGCTGCAAATGTTCGTGTCGGGGCTGCGAGACTTTCTCTGCAAGTTGCTCTGCAAAAGTTCTCCACTTGTTCTGCACGCAAGTCTTCGCGCAAGTGCAAGTTCGCTCTGCAAGTTTCTCTGCGGAAGGTCTCCATTGAAGCTTCTCTGCGCAAGCTGCCTGTGCAAGTGTCTCTGCGCAAGTTTTGCCTCACATTTCCTGCTCAAGTTTGTCCACGCGAGTTGGCGATTGAAGCTTCTTTGCTCAAGCTCTCTGTGCAACTATCTCTCTCCGCAAGTTGCCTGTTTGTGAATCGCATTCAATGCGAGGGATCGTTCTCAACGCAAGTACCGCAAAAGTTGCACATCGACTGCACCGATACCCGCAGAAGGTCAAGAGTTGCAGGCGCTCCATATATTTTGCACATCGCTTCCCGCAGAGGATCGCTTTTGCACAGAACAAGTAGGACCCGTTTTGCACATGGACCACACCGATCCCTGCAGAGGGTCTGCGCAAAAAGGAACAAACATACCTTGGTTTTGCTTACGCGTCGAACGAGCTGAGGCTCCGGCGGTGCGCCAAAAGCAGGAAGATGTGAGTTTTTGCACATCTACCACACCAATCCCTGCGGGTCGTCCCGCGAAAGTAGCAACAGCCCACACACGCTATGCTGCTCCCCGCAGAGGGTGGCACGGGGGGTGTGAAAAGTAGCGCAAGCTCCTCGCATTTGCATGTTGACAGCACAGATCCATGCAGAGGTGTCGCGTGGTTGGTTTGGTCCACCGGGGTTGCTTTCTTCCAAGGGCTGGTTTGGCGACCCCGCTGTGACGCCTTTAGAAATTAAGTTTCATTGCGGGCTCACATTTCTCACGCAAGATGTTTTGCGCAAGCTTTCTCGTGCAACAAACTCTGTCGTGCTTTGCTGGAAGAACCCTTCGCAGCGTTTTCGTCGAAAGAACAACTAATCCGTTCCCCCTAAAATAGTAATGATAAACCGTCCCCCAATAAAAACAAAGAACATCCCGGGGAGGTGATTATTAGGATCCCCGGAAATGGCCAGAACTGTGTCGGTCTGCGTTTTGTATTGTTGGCACGGTTTCAGCAGCAACCAGCGCAACGTGCGACAACTTAGTGAAATTGCCAGCAAATCTGGCTTGCTTGCTCACACGCAGCATTCATTCCCAACCTTGTGGAGGGGGGCGTCACACAGATTTTACGACGGTAGCCTTTGTCCTTGACTGCTCTTGGGTTGGATCTTTAGATTTTAACTTTTGGAAATCAAGCGAACCCCCCAACACATTAAACTTCTTGCAGGGTCAACAGCAACCAAGTGTCATGATCACATTTGCCAGGGGTCCTTTCTCGGGGGGGCAAGCATGCGTGGCTTGGGCGCCTGGGGCGCGCCTTGGCGCCCCACGGGCCCCACATCTCGCGCCGGGGTGAGAGGAGGGTCCAGCAATGCAACCAGGTCCCCCAGCTTCTTACCGTTTCTTTTTTGGGGGAGGGTTCCCCTACTAAATACAAAAAAGGGTACCCTTATTCTAACCTCTCTACTGGAGGACCTAGGCAAGTCAGGCTGCCCAAAGGGATCAGCATCCATGCCATCCATGCGCCAGCTTTGTGTCTGCGCAGGCCAAGCCGCTTGCCTCTCGTCGGGTCAGCTCGGGTGCTGCCGCCACGCGTTGCGAGCAAGATTCTAGTCAGCATGCTTGTGTTTTGAGGGTTGCTCCTTTTTTCTTGGTGGTTCAAGAATGTTAAAGAAGGGAAGGCCACAGTTTTGGGGATACCCAGTCGTTCAACGGGCTAAAAGGCGAAATTCGGCGGGCCTGGTCTTAGCTTCGCCTGCCAGCTGCCGGCAAAGCTCCCGGCCCTCAATGCCCGGCGCCGGCCTCAAGCGCCGCAGTGGCTGTCTGTTATATAAGGGTGGGGCGCTAGAATTGTGCTATTCCAAAGTAGTTGTTGGCATTGCTCGGTTTGTTCTAGCATTTGTGGGTAATTCCCCCCGCATTTCATTGCATGCTGCATTTTCCAACACGTTTGGGTCCTCTTGCAATGAAAACAAAAGTAGCGCCGCTGCCTTTACAAGAGATTGAACACACGTGGTTTCGCCGTCGGCCCCACAAATCCCCCATGCCTTTATGGAAACCTTGGGGTCTATCAGCGTTTGCATCGGGACTTTGGGCCACGCCGTTTTTTTCCGACTCATAGTTTGACAAGTTTAAGACCGGAGCCAAAGCAGGCAACCGGCTCGGTAGAGCAATCAACCGTCATGCTCAGATCCTGGCGCTATGGGTTGCTGGGACTGAGGGCTGGGCACCAAGTGCCCAACGAGCCGAAATTGGTCAATGCCAAAATGGCATGGAGGCGCCGGCGGGCGGCGGGTCGCTGCGTGGCAGGAGGGCACCCACGAATAAATTTGAAAGACGGGGTTCGCATGGCACGTGGTTCCCAGCCATCCGGTTCCTGAGCTTTTTAGCCTTTTAGTGTTTAGTTGTAGTTTCCATTTAACCTACTAACAGTTAGTCACTTTTAGCGGGGAATCAGAAATCGGGCAGCCCAGTTTTGGTTGTGAGTCTTTGCTTCACGTCCCAGGAAGGCATCCGTTCACTAGGCTAATCAGAGCCGCACGGCCGGCCCGGCTGTGGTGAAGCTGCAGTATGTCCGTGACACGGTTCGACGCATGTCCGGGCGAGCCCGTCCTGGCTGGGACAAGTCGTGTTGGACCTGTCCTTTGCCAACGCGGCCCATGCATAGGTGTCCTTTTTGGTTAATTTGGTTGAAAATTAGAGGGCGATTCCTAGTTTAGCTGGTGATTCAATCAACTACCACGTCTAGCTTCCCAAAAAGGACACCTATAAGCCCATGGCTAGTGACGCGTATGCCGCTCACTCAGAGGCTGCTCAGCTTTTGATTTGCCAACGGAGCCAGATTTGTTTGAAGATTTGAAGACTTTGCGTGTTCGGCGGTGTCAATTGAATGTTGGTGATGCACGGCGTCTTCTTTCCTTGGGCAAATTAAGCCATTTTACAAAGAGTTCGCGACTTTACCCTGCATACTAATTCTCACTTACCCAAAGCCGAGCTTTTTACCGTTTGGCTTTCCCATGTTGGTCCAGTTTTAGTAAAGGTCAGCCTTTTATTTCCAGGTCTTTTGGGCAAGTGAGTTTTTTTTTTTTGCGCATTTAGACATCCCTTATCTCAGCTCGAAGTATGGTAACTCACCTCGACATTTGCAGCTAGGCTAGAGTGGAGGCAAATTCCCAGACTGTACGAAGGCCTCCAGACAAAGGAAACTATAACAGTTTCAGGGGCACTCCTATTTTAGGCGTTGCTCAATGGAGTCCTGAATGTCAAAGCAGCAAGCGGTGGGGTGCTTAAGATTTTGAGATCTCTCGACTCGGGCCAACCTCCGGCGTCAGTAAAAGACACCTTCGATTTTTGGAAATCATCCAGCCTCTCATCATCTCATCTGCCATTCGCCGCGCCGCGGAGTGTATTGGCTGCAGTCTGCTTAGCGCGTCGCATTGTGTCGCCATGTTCCGGGTGGCCTGCCTCTTCCTCCCCCTGGTCGCTGCGCAAGAGGCGACTCTGCCAAGCCTTCGGGGCAGAGCATTGGCTGCCAGCCGCAGCCTGAGTGACCTCCCCAGCTGCGCCCAGCAGCTGCTTGTCCGCATGTTGCTCAAGAACCGTGTTTTCCACTTGAACATGGGCATGGACATTGCAGATTTAATGCTTTCCATTGGCATCTTGAATGGAAGCCTTTGGGAAAATCACTTGTTTAGGCAGAATCGAACAGCGTTACGCAGATTTAGCAACGATTGCTTAACTGTTTGGAGATATTGTAGGTCGACTCAGCCCTGAGCTGAGCCAAATGTTGTCTGCCGATCTCAACACTCCTGAAATGTTGGAGTTCCTGATTTTTATGATGGGACCTATTTATTTTGTCTGCTTTTGGGTAGACACATCTTCGGATGGTAGCAGGTCCAAAGCTCGTCCCAAACCTAAGCAGTGGTTTCCCAAAATGATGTTGCCAGGAAGTGGTGAATCGATGTCCCAGCCCAAAATATGATGATCCAACGGGCAGGAACAGCATGGGTACAAACTCTTGCAAGTCTTTGCAAGCGAACAGCTGGGGCGCGCATCTGACGCAGCATGGCGCATCTCACTCCCCTCGTCGAGTCGAACCAAGCTTGTCTTCCGGTTAGAGGGGTTCTGGAGCTCGACCCTTCCACGTTGCCGGACTCAGTGCAGTGTGACTTATTGATTTTGGGGTTTTGCTTCCTTCCCCCTTTCAACCAGCAACACCTTGGTCTAAGTCGGGCCTGGTCAATCTGGCCTTGGTTTGGTTCCGTTTTGCTTGCTTTTGAGCACCCTCCGAAAAGGGTCCCACAATTTGGACTGACACCCTCAGGTCGACCCTCGACTTGTTAAACCATTTGGGTATGCGCCGAAATAGGAGAACCGCATTTTTTGGGGTGAACCTTTTTTTGGGGGTTGTTTCCCTTTCCTTTGAAGCAACCCCAAGTGTTCCATCCGAAAAATCCACGCGCTCATGCAGCCAATGGCACAAACTTATTTCAGCGCCGCCTGGCCATGAAAAACTACCTGCCTTCCGGAACGGGACCAAGGTCTTCCAGAGACCCCGCGCTTTTCCTTAGGTACTCGCATTTGCCCTTTGCTTAAGCTAAAATGCTGGCTACAGAGATTTGACAAAGTCGTACCTCCATTTGAGGCAGTGCCTAAATTCCATGGGGGACAACATGTCGAAAACAAGTCGTGCCTCTTTCCAGAAGTCTCACCAGCCTTGGAGGTACCCGGATCCACGTCCATTGAGCCTAGGCCCAACTTCCAGCTGGCCACCACTTGGTGCGGCCAGCAGAAAGAGCCCGTGGCCTGCTTCAAAGAACCCGACAGCCTGAACCCGGTCTGGGACTGCCACCTGCAGCTGCACCTTGGCCGCTGTCTTTTTTTTGGTATGCCGGTTTGGTTGTGTTTGTCTCTTTTGTTTATTTGTTTGATGAATTGTTTGTTTGATTGCTTGGTCGGTTTGTTGGTGTGCTGCATTGTTTGTTTGTCTGCTTGTCTCTTGGTTTGTTTGTGTGTTTGATTGATTGCTTGCTCGTTTGTTTGATTGATTCATTGATTTGATTGATTTGATTGATTGATTGATTATGATTGATTTGATTGGTTGATTGATTGATTGATTGATTGATTGATTGATTGATTGATTGATTGATTGATTGATTGATCGATCGATTGATTGATTGATTGATTGGTCGGATTGTTGGTGAGCTGCATTGTGTGTTTGTTTGTTTGTCTCTTTGTTTGTTTGATTGATTGCTTGGTCGGATTGTTGGTGTGCTTGCATTGTTGTTTTATGTTTAGTATTATGATTATTATTATTATGTATGTTTGTTTGTTTGTTTGTTTGTTTGTTTGTTTGTTTGTTTGTTTGATCGATTGATTGATTGATTGATTGTTTGCTTGGTCGGATTGTTGGTGTGCTGCATTGTTGTTTTATGTTTAGTATTATGAATTATGATTATTATTATTATGTTTGTTTTTTGATTGATTGATTTATTGTTTGTTTGATTGCTTGGTCGGTTTGTTGGTGTGCTGCATTGTTTGTTTGTTTGTTTGTTTGTTTGTTTGTTTGTTTGTTTGCTTGGCTCTTGGTTTGTTTGATTGGTTGATTGCTTGGTTGGATTGTTGGTGTGCTGCTTTGTGTGTTTGTTTGTTTGTTTGTTTGTTTGTTTGTTTATTTGTTTCTTTGTGTGTTTGTTTGTTTGTTTGTTTGTTTGTTTGTGTGTTATTTTGTTATTTTGTTTTTTGTTTGATTGATTGATTGTTTGATTGCTTGGTCGGATTGTTGGTGTGCTGCATTGTTTGTCTCTTTGTTTGCATTGCTTGCTTGCTTGTTTGTTTGTTTGTTTGTTTGTTTGTTTGTTTGTTTGGTTGCTTGTTTGCTTGCTTGCTTGTTTGTTTGCTTGTTTGTCTGGTTGTTTGTTTGTTTGTTAGGTTGTTTGTGTGTTTGTTTTGTTGGTCTGCCTGTTTGCCTGTCTGTCTTGCTTTTGCTTGCTGGCTTGCTGGCTTGCTGTGGCTTGCTGGCTTGCTGGCTAGCTGGCTTGCTTGCTTGCTTGCCTGCTTGCCTGTCTGTCTGTCTGTCTGTCGGTCCGTCCGTCTATCTCTTTGTTTGTTTGTTTGTTTGTTTTCTTGCTTGGTTGTTTGCTGGGTTGTTGCATTGTTAGGTTAATTGTTTTGTTGGCTGGCTGATGAAGTGATAAGTTGTTGCAGTTTGTGTTTGTTTGCTTGCTTGCTTGTTTGATTGTTTGTTTGTGTGTGTGTGTGTTGTGTTGTGTTGTGTTGTGTTGTGTTGTGTTGTGTTGTGTTGTGTTGTGTTGTGTTGTGTTGTGTTGTGTTGTGTTGCGTCGTGTTGTGTTGTGTGTTTGCTTGTTTGTTTGTGTGTTTGTTTGTTTGTTTGTTTGTTTGTTTGTTTGTTTGTTGGTTTGACTGTTTATTGGTTGGATTGGTATGTCAATTGTTTGTTTGATTGTCTTTTGTGTGTTTGTGTTGTTTGTTTGCTTGCTTGCTTGCTTGCTTGCTTGCTTGCTGTTTTCTTTTGCTTGCTTGTTTGCTTGTTTGTTTGTGTTGTTGATTTGTCCGTCTGTTTGTTTGGTTAATTGTTTGTTTGTTTGTTTGTTTGTTTGTTTGTTTGTTTGTTTGTTTTTGTTTGTTGTTTGTTTGCTTGCTTGCTTGTTTGCTGGTTTTGTTTTGTTTTGTTATGTTGTGTTTTGTTGATGTTGTTTGTTTGTTTGTTTGTTTGTCTGTCTGTCTGTCTGTCTGTCTGTCTGTCTGTCTGTCTGTCTGTCTGTCTGTCTGTCTGTCTGTCTGTCTGTCTGTCTGTCTGTCTGTCTGTCTGTCTGTCTGTCTGTGCTTTGTTTTGTTTGGCTGTTTGTGCGTTTGTTTGGTTGTGCTTTGTTTGTTTGGTTGTTTGTGTGTTTCTTTGTTGCTTTGTTAGGTTGTTTCTTTGTTTGATTGTTTGTTTGTTTCATTGTTTGGTTTGTTTGCAGGCCCTACTTACAATTGTATAGACTTCCTGGGTGCCAACCAATGCAATTTGGCTGGTTTCTCCTAGTTGGAAGCTCTCGGTGTATGGCTTCGCTTGTCAAACATGCTGGGCCTTGAGCTGCTGAGCTGGCTGCCCTGGCACCTAACCGGTGAGATCAAGCTTGCAAAACAGAGCGAATGGAACTCATTTGAGCCCAATCAAAGCCCAGGTAAATGAAGGTTAGTAAGGGGACAATCCCAACCATAAATAGCTGAAGCCGCCTTCTTAATTCTTTACATGGTTGTTTGAAGCATTATTATAGTTTAAACAACCTCCTTTTGGCCTCCTTGAAAAATGAAACACCGGCACCTTGTTTTTGGTACTTGTTTTTAAGATCAATTCTCTCCACAACAAGCCCAGGTGATATCCCTAACAGCCCCGGAATCTCCTGGAACCCTCCTCTTGAAGACCAGAAAGCAGTTTCCAGCTTCCGGCAACCCTGCAGTGGTGGTTTGGGGATTTGAACCCCTGGTTCTTATAAAACAAACTTGGGGTTTCCCACCAATCCCAGCCACCAAACCTCCGGGCTCCCGACTCCAACCAAGGAACAAGCTGAGAACTTCTGATTTGAAGAGGCCCCTCTTAGAACCAGTCCAAACCACCAAACCAGGCTCCAAACCGAGAGGGAAGCTGAAAGAACTCGTGGATTAGTGGCAAAGTCATTAGAACATTGTGGGAAGCTGGATTGAAGAGGCCGTTCTCAGACCGAGGCATTCCGCCTGCTCCGGCGGGGCCACTCCTTGTGCCTGGCCCTTGGACGCCCTTGTCGAGGCCTCGGCGCCGGCGCGCGAAGCCTCTGCCGCCGACAACCAGGCGAGTGGGAGGTGGCGCACGTGGTCCTTGGTGAGCCATTCGGTTCCTTGGGTTTTTAGGTTGTCAGAGGTTCTTGTTTGTTGGTTTAGTGGCTGGGTGTCCATTTGACCTACGGAAAGCAAACGTGAGAAAAGCCCAGGTTCGATTCTTTTGTTTTGACCTCTGTCGTTTGAGAGTTCTTTTGGCTTGGGGTTTGTAATCCAAGGTTTGTTCCGAAAATAGCGGGACCAGGGACCATGTGGCTCCCCGGTAGTTGAAAGAAACCTTCACCCTTTGGTCACAAACAGGGACCTCTGTGGGAGTTTCTCAAAATGGTGGAGCCCTTTTTGGTTGGTGTTGAAAGTGAAACCAACACGAGGTCAAACGATTTCAAGCATTTTAGGAAAGCCTATTTTGAGATTCAGCAAAAACGCCCACCTGAAACCTGTGTCTTAGCTGGGTTCACCTGGGTCAACCAATGTTGCATGTTCTGCTCGCATGATGGGAACATGACTCAATCATATTAAACATGGTCCGTGGGAATATAGTAGTAGAACCCGATTGCCAGAGAGTGCCCTCTTCGTTGAGGGGCAGCAGGCAAGTCGGCTATGTCCGCCATTCCCCAAGGCGCCCGCCCCGCAAACAAAGCGCGGCGCTCAATGGGAAACCCTAGGTTCTCGGGTCAAAGGACCGCTGTGGGCTGGGAAACTCCTTTTCGGTGGTTGACGCCTGAAGTCAGGATGAGTGACTTCCCCCAAACCTGAGTTAAGATCGTGTGAATGATGTGTTTCCCAACGGACACCAACTGATGGGTATATGCTTGTTTCAGACCCCCCATCTTCGCAGCGCCGGCACCCCCCAATCCCTTTCGGCAGCCCTCACGCGAGGCTGGCCAGCCTACGCGCTTTGTGACCTGGAACTTGTACGTCTTCACACTGGCAGGGCGCATCCATCCAGTGGTCGACGAGCCTTATCGGCACTGTGCGGCCAGCGGCAGGGGCGCTGTGCTCTGTTTGTTGGCGGGATGTTGAGGCCGAAGGGTCTTTTTGTGGGGAACTCAGGGGAAGCGGCCAAAGCCTTTCCAGGGGGGTCAGGTTTTCAATTTGCTCAGGCTACGTTTTCAAAGAGTGACTGAACCCATGTCCAAGCAAGATAGTACACATACTATACCATGCGGGTGTGGGTCAAGATGAAACCACCAGGGGACCGCAGGTTTTGGTCCATGTCTCCATTTACCAGGGTTCCGTTTGGGGTACCAATTTTTGACCCACAGCCATGTGGTCCACCCCCCTCAGTACTCGGAGATGTGGCTCCGCTTCAGCGAGTTGGCCGGCTCAGGAGTTGATGCGGATGCAGCCAGAGATCGCGGCCATCCCGGAGATGTGGCATGAGAAGAACGCCATCATCAGCCGGTTGAACCAGGCGAGGCCGAGTTTCAAGGGTTGGGTTCGGAGAAACGTGGTCCCGTCCCAGGTACCTAAGGAGCCTTAGAAGGGGCTCTTTAGGTCAAAGTACATCACAGGGTTGGGGCCTTTCGTTTGGGCCAATGGAACAAAATCAGTTTGAGCGTGTCGATCCAAACTCAGGCGTAGCTTCTGACCTTCGATGAATCGTTCGGGGCAGAATTTCTATGTACAAAGCGAAGGGTCCCGGGTCCAGGTGCTTGGTGTTTGGGAAGGCATCTAAACTGTCGGTCAAAATCCTGTGCGGTTGTGCACCAGTCATGTCCATCCCCAACAAAGTATGGTCATCCCACATTTCCGCAGTTTTCACACGTGTGCGATATAAACTATATAGTTGATCTCTGCGAATGGTTGGTATTTTCTGGTTCCTGCAACATACCATCTCAAAGGGGTTACTGAGTGGGGATGCTTCTCGACACAGATCACCCTTTCAATCATAGTTTCCAAATCAGCCCCCCTTTGAACCACCCCCCCAAAATAAATAAGGGCTGATTAGGGCCTATTAGGGGCTATTTTTTGAAGCAACTTCCTGAAGCCATCGGCGCTCGGTAGCCAACCCGCCCGCCGATTGGATTTCATGTTACTTCAGTTTGGCTTTCAGTTTCTGTTTCTTCAAATTCCCTAGGCGCGCTTTCAGTGTTCCCTTGAATTGGGCTTTACGATCGCCTTACTCTTGACCTTATTTCGAGCCATATGTTTGCTGCATTAGGCATGTGCGCCAATCTGGACTTAATTTAGCCTTAATTTGGCCTTAATTTGACCCTAATTTGGCCTTAGTTTGGCCTTAATTGTGCTTGAGCCCAAATCCCATAGGCATTTGCGCTAATTTGGCCTTAATTTGGCCTTAATTTGACCTTAATCTGGCCTTAATTGTGCTTAAACCAAAATCCCATAGGCATTTGCGCTAGTTTGGCCTTAATTTGGTCTTAATTTGGCCTTAATCTGGCCTTAATTTGGCCTTAATTTGGCCATAATTTTGCTTTACAGTAGCTTGGCGTGATTCCCAACCCAATACAGCGTAGGCACGCACCCGTAAATCAGGACATCGCGTTTTCATTTAGCACGTTTGAAAGGCTGGCGCGTTTGAGCTCAGTCTTGCCTTAAGTCTGTTTTACAATTTGCATTGTTGTCTTGAATTGGCTTGAGTCATTGGTGCACAAACAAAACATTAATTTGGCCTTAATTTGTCCACAAGGGTGAATTTCCAAGAATTAACTTGGTCTTAATTTGGCCTTAATTCCTCCTTAATTTTGAGGCCAAATTAAGGCCTTAATAAGGGCTTAATAAGTCCCTACTAAGTCCTTAATAAGGCCTTCCTTTTATGTGTGCTCTTAATTTGGCCTTACTCTGGAAGGGGGGGGGGTTCAGGGGGGGGTGCTTTTGTAATCTATGATTCAATTGAAGATAGGCACAAAATCATGGGACTCCGTGTACCTTGGTAGAGAAATCATCTTTTGGCCCGTTGTTTAGCGACTTGATGCACAGGCCAGGCAAGGCAAAACGCCCCAGATGAGACCGTCCCACCTATGGCCAAACTTGCACGAGCTCAACTCAGCCCTGAAGGTCTTACGGAGTCCCAATTCGGAAGGGGTCCAAGAAGCCAAGGGGCTCTCAACGACCCACCCCTCTTGTACCTGCCCAGGCTAGAGATTCCACAAAGCTCCTAATTTCCATTTAATGTTGGAACTATAAACACTTGGCCAGAATTGTGTGGCTATTTTCAAGCCAGCACTCAAGAGACTTTGGGCAAGAGCTCGAGTTTCTGATGTTGATGACCCTTGCATACCGTCAACGTATTGGGCCCGGGCCGAAATGCAGAGCCCGTTTGCTGACACTTAAGCGCCAGAAAGAACGCCCATCTTCATGGCCAAGACGCATAGGAGCTTCGCATTGGCCAGAGCATAAAGAGTTGTATCACCAGCTCCAATCAGCCCTGGTACACAACCCTTTGGACTTTCGAAAGAGTCTGAGGGTTTTTGTATTACTTTTTGGGACTACACCCTTGAGAATGACCTAGAATGGCTCAAGATAACCGGGTTTTATCCGGAAATGTGCCTAAATGGGTTCAATATTTAGGTGTATTCCCAGGGTCTAATACAAAAACCCTTAGAAAGAGAGGTTGGCCCGGAGGTCCCGTGCCCAGTGAGGTCAAATCCTCATGGCTAGGGACTCACAGAAACATCCAAGCACATACCCAAAACACCAGACCTTGTTGGAAGACAATCTTCCTGAGTGTTCCTTTGCATGTCCATGTTTGGGGGAACCTATGTGCCGCCCAGATGGTTCTTTGGCAAGGAAAACCAACCGTTAGAGCATGTATCTTGACATACAATTTCAAGCATTTACCTAGTTGCCCAGTGGCGCAACTTGTTTCTTGTTTTTGGGGGAAGGGTTCCCTTTAAACTCAAGCAACCAAACACGGACGCCCTGTTTTACCATGGCCACTGGGCATCTGAGTTTAGAACCCTCGAATTGTTTGAGCCCAGGTGTCCGGCAACGTCTATGCCTTTGCCACAGGAGGGGCAACCGAGCAGTTCAACGATGCAGACATCCTCTTCCGCGCCGAGACTCGACAGAGACGAAGTTGGAAACGGGCGCAAACACTTGTTGCTTGTGACGAGCTTCCCTCTGGAAACGAGCCGATTGATGTAGGGCCTTTGCAGGGAGGCTCCCTTTTTTACCAGTTTGAGGGACTTGGCACGATCCCAGCGCTGCATGTTGCGCGAAGAAACGCAAGGGTTGTGCTTACTGCCCTTTGAGGAGGCTTTGGGCTGTAATGCAGTGATTGTCAGTTGAACCCTGTGATGCGTGAGGTGATGCTTCCGCATATCCACTGCACATTTCGGACAAGGTTTAAACGGGTCCTAGCTTTGCCGAGCTTGGTTGCTAAGCAGCCCACAATACTATCTTTTCCGAAAGGAAGGCCCACCATGGATGGCTTAAGTGATTATTTTTGCCCATGCTCTTTTCTCTTTTTTTTTCCCCCCGAAAGGAAGACCCAAGATGGATGGCTTCTGTTTCTTTTTTGTCCCTACCTAGAGACTCAAACACTGAACACCTACATCGATTTGTTTGAGGGTATGACATGTTCTCGAGGTTTTTGGGTCTCCTGGTGGTTTTGGCACAGGACAAGTGGGAGCACTTGGCCAGCGACCTGGTTCCCTTCTCTGATGGCCGAGCAGTGAACTGGGCAGCGCTGCGCCGCAAGAGCGACGGAAAGACGCTGCTTGCGGCTTGGCCGTGGACGGGTTTACTAGGTCCCCCCAGTAGTGCCCTTTCTCACCTTTTTTTGGGTTGGGAGGGTTCCCCTACTAAAATAGACTACAGAAAAAAGGGGTACCCTTATTCTAACCTCTCTACTGGAGGAACTAGTTTAGGTTCGCCAGGTTTCCCTTTGGCCTTGTTGGTCGTGCATAACTTGGAAGAACCAGCTTGTGTTGTGTGTTGAACTGGTTAGATCTTCCATAGCTTGAAACAACAGCTTGTCGGGCCATAGCGAACCACCTAGTTGAGCCTCTTCAACTTGTTCTTTGGTCTTCCGTTATGTTTGCAGACTGCACAATTCAGGCAACCCTAAATTGGTTGCTAGGATTGGTAGTTTGTGGATTTGAACCCTTGGTTCTTGTGGAGGGTAGATGGGACACCACCAAACCCATTTCACCACCGGGCTCCAAACCACCAAATAGAGGGAAGCTGCAACCTCTAGCGACCGGGGACCTCAGGTCGCGGGGACCCACCCCCTGTGCTGCCGGGGAGACTATGTGGTCATTGAGGCCATGCAGTTCGTGGCGCAGACCCTGTCCCAGATTCAGCAGCAGCATCCGCTGCTGGTCTGAAGCTCACTTGCCCAAAGCGAATCGACCAGATCCGGCCTTTAGGTTTTCCCCTTTGATCTAGGGGACACTTCCATTTCCATTCTTTCCAGGGATCCTTCTTTCCAAAAAACCATCAGAACACAAGGGGAAACAGCTGGTTTTTGAAAAGAACGATGGTTGAACAGAATGGGGAATCAACCCCTAGAATTTTGGACCATTTTTAGTAAAGGTCCCAAAAGGCGATCACCGTTTTTTTTCCAGGTCCTTTGGGCAAGTGAGGAAGGACATGAAATGGTAATGGGCCCTTCTGTCCGTTTCCCTGGGCCAAAGAACCAACGGATCCGAGCCTTCCAGTCAATTTTTGTTTCCTGGTGTGAATATTATCTTTAAGGCAAACGAGGGTTGCCATTTGGCAGCTTTGAAGGGCATGTGTTCCAGGAAGGCCGTTTGGATTTTTGTTGGATTCCAGTTTTGGCTCAACCCACCAAGTAAGCCATGGTGTTCTTGAAAGGAAAGGTCTAAGTGCCAAGCATCTATGCCTGAGTTGATTGCCCCAAATGAGCCTAAGACCCTGGCTCCAAAGCAAACTGCTGGGTGTGCGAGCCTGCATAGTGGGGATCAGTGTGGGTAACAGGCTTTCGAATCCACTAGGATTGATTTGGGGTAATCATGTTGGTCCCTTTCAAGGATGTTTTTGAAGATCTTACATCCACTCAAACTCAAGCTTTTGGATTGTTCTGCTTTTTGACTTGTTCCTTCATATAGGGAGCTTAATGTATACAGAGCCTAATGTGCAGACTTTTCACTCGCTCAGAGCCCTGAGCCCCCAAAAAACCAGGCCGGATCCTAGTTGATGCGTTTGAACCTCAACAGCTGATCCACTAGGCGATTTGGCCAGTGAACCTTATGTTGCACAAATTTAATTTATCAATGTGACACAGCACTCTGAGTTGAAACAAGCTCTCAAAGATCCTTACATCCTGATATCTTGAGCCCTCAGCAAGCAGCAATCCGGCAACGGTGTTTGTTGAGACATGGCGTCGCGGCGTCACTTAAATGCTTGAAGGATCGTTTGCCTGAGACTTTGGCCGCGGAAGGTCATGATCAAATTGCTTCAGGGACATGCGCATCGCAAGCTCATCCCCTCAGCTTGCGCTGCTAATGACATGGCCATGGGTTAAAATGCCGATTAGCCCCCAGTGAGCATCCGATTCAATCCAACCACGAAAATAGACCAAACTGGGTGGTGCACCTATCTCAAAATGGTACCATTGGTTTTGAACCATGGTCACATATTTGTCTATCTTGACCCTCTACATGCTCATCCTCGGCGGCCCTCAGAGCTTGACCCGATGTCAAGATGTTGCATTGCCCTCCAAAGAAGGTTCGGCAACCTGCGACTTCATCTTGACTTGGGTGCAGCTGCGTTTCCTCTTTGACGGCCTTAGGCGATGCCATTCCTGATTCACTTTTAGATGCGTTGAGGTATATACCCTTTTCGCGGGTGGAAAGAACTGGGTGTGACTTTTTCAGGGCATCCATTTTTTGTGGTTTTGAGAGGGCACCAAAAGGAAAGCCATTTTATGGGGGTCCAACTTTAAAACAGTCACACCCAAATGGGAAACTAGCCACTCCTTGGTCGACACGAAGATGTCACTTGGGCAGGAACCTTTTTTTTTGGAGACCAGCAGCCCAGGTACCCCATCGTCCTGATGGGAGACCTGAACACTGGGTACTTCCAACCCTCCCAGCAGCTCCTGCGGCATGGTCACATGGATGCGCCCCAGTCGCAGTTGAAGTGCGAAGTCGGGCCTTTCTGGGCGGTTGCACTTCGCAACATGTTTAGACACAAAACAGTTGGGAGAAGATTGAAGCAACATGAATCCGTTTTTTCTTCTGGAGGGGTTTGACTTCTCGTTTGGAGGGCATCCTTTTTTCGGAGTTGGCAAGGGAAGCCCCACTCATTTTGAGAGGAGTGTCTCACCCTATGGACACAAGTCCTCCTCCAATTTCTTTCCAGTGCATGCGGCGATGGCCTTTGCCAAAGACCTTGGGTCGATCCTTAGCGATTCGGTCGGTTTGGCATGCCTTTGGGTTTCTGTCACCCCACCGGTCCAAATTGGGACTTTCAGCTTCCAGGGCCTGGCGAAAGATGCGAGGCATTGAAACTACCGGGTGCAAAGCAAACAAGACAATCCGAGACCACCTCTTCCCACCTCTTACCAAGTCTAAATCCAGTCCATAGTTTCCAAAGCTCATTCCTGGGCGTCTTGTTTTCAAAGCAACGCAAGAGTCGCATCTGGTGGCTGTTTCTCTTGTGGCTATTCATACCAAAAGGGAGGTAATAGCTAAAGGGCAATACACACACGAATCATGTGCCCAAGGTGTTCAGCATACCCTATGTGTTGGCATCGCCCTTGAAGAAGAATATAGTTACTATATAGTTAGGCAAATTATTGCGTGGCTCACCAATTCAGGGTTTAAAGAGCTTTTCTTACGAGGGTCCTTCCTTGGGCATATTCCTAGTGCCCAGTTCGCGACTTGTCATATGCCCGGACTCAAAGCGCACTCCAAAGGAGATTCTCTTTTTCAAGGCCTGGGACAATATGGTGGGTCAAAACCCAGGAAACCCCTGGTGAACATCAAAGGTGGCAAATGGAGGTTCATCCATCCCCGGGCAACGCCTTTGGAGTCTTTCTGAAGCTCCCTGACTGTTATCCGGAAACGCTTCTTAGCTACAGCGGGAAAAGGATCTCTCACCCGAGGTCCTTTGCTAGGGGGTTGCGCTCCCAAAATAAGGGAGTTCCTGGTTTTACAAGTCCACCCAAAAAGGGTAATTATCCGCAAAAAAAACAAGACACAGATATGGGGATGTGTTTTTCCCCCCAAGAGGGCCCTTTTTGGGAGCCGAAGCTTAGTGTTTGCCGACTGGGTTTCGAGAATACCACAAAAGGCCTCGTGCTTTAACCCTCCAAATGAGTGATCTGTCAAACGAGCACACAAGAAAGCCACCGCTGCTTTATGAGTGTCCCTCCAAATGGTGGACCCTCTGACTTGTATTTTGGTCCGTTTGAAGCAAAAGCGCCCCTCCCCCCTATTTGGTTAAAGTGAAATCACCCCCAGGTGTGTCTTAAGATAGGGGACCCCCAAAACTTGGTGGGACCCCCAAAACTTGGTTGCCCTTGACCAACCCCAAAACACACAAAAAGTGTGGTTTTCCTCTTGGTTTCCCTTTACCCACCCCAAAACATGGTAGCTTCAAAGAAGACAAACCCATCTGCTTCATGCCTCTTACGAGGCCTTCGGCAAGCACTGGGAGATTCCCATGACCTTCACGGATGCTTGGGCTGAGCTGCACCCGGGAAATCCGGACCCCTCGACCATCAACAACGACCCGGCGCCTTGGTGAGTTTATGGGAACCGACATGAGACAAAGGGCAGAATGCTTCACGGTTGTTGGCAAGTTTGTAGTTGTTTTCTGTTTTGTTTGGGCTCTGTTCATTTTTAGTGGGCGGAGGGTTGAAAACCAATTCTTTGCTACCCGGCAGAAATACCCCTCCTGTCCATCAAGACGGAACCTGACATTTCGGGGGCCTGGTTTGGACTATTTTCCTTTAGGACAGGAGGGTGCTGATAGTTTACCGAAATCAGGCTTTTCAGTACCCCAAAACCCTTCCAACTTATTCAGGCCCGTTGCGTAAAAGAGAGGGGTCCCTCGATTGTTTCTGAATAATGAAGTTATGGGGTGCCTTTTTCAAGCATCACCAGTATTGGCTGGTAGTCAGGGGGAAGCGACGGTCTTTAATAGGGTGACAGTATTTGGGTGTGGCTCAAAATGTAAGAGCTAGGCTTTAGTTCTTTCCGTCATAGGTGCCATTTGATACCTTGTTTTGAGCCGCATCCAGTCGTTTGGGGTGGCCTTCTCCTCAAAGACCCCCGCCCTCGTAAGCCGCAAGCTGACAGCTCCCGTTGCGTTTCGACCACGGAAACCAGGGGGTTCCACACATGACAACTGAGGGTGAACCTTATTTCACCATATGCACCCAAACAGATGGGTGTCCTTTTGGTTTCGCTTGAACACCACAGCCAAGGGGTACCCACAAAAACGGATCTCGTCAAGAATAGCTTATCTATTCTTTGAGGCGCCCGGGGAACAAGCAAACACACAAACAACCCGACCAAGCGACTGACCAGCCGACCAACTCATAAACAAACAAACAAACCAACAAACAAACAAACAAACAAACACAAACAAACAAACAAACAATCAAACAAACAAACAAAGCAATGCAAACAAACAAACACACAAACAAACAACCAAACAACCAAACCACAAGCAAACAAAAACAAACAAACACAAACAAACAAGCAAACAAACAAACCACAAGCAAACAAAAACAAACACACAAAAGCAAACAACCAAACAACCAAACCACGCGCAAACAAAAACAAACAAACAAAAACAAACAACCAAACAACCAAACCACGCGCAAACAAAAACAAACAAACAAACAAACAATCAAACAAACAAACACACACACAAACAAACAAACAAACAAACACAAACAACCAAACAACCAAACCACGCGCAAACAAAAACAAACAAACAAACAAACAAACAAACAAACAAACAAACAAACAAACACACACACACACACAAACAAACAAACAAACAAACAAACACAATCAAGCAATCAATCAATCAAACAAACAAACAAACAGACAAACAACCAAACAAACTCACAATCAAATAAATAAGCAATCAACCAGTTTAGGGATGCAAAAGGACATCCCTTCTTCGACCCCTAACAAGTTCTTTCTTCAACTCCACAAGCAACTGAGAAGCCGAAAGCCAACCTTTGAGAGATTATGTTTTTAGATTGCAACTGCTTTTAGTCAACGTGCCAACAGATTAATCCTTGTTTCCAGGTCATTTGGGTAAGTGGGAAACGGTTAGGGAACCGTCCAGAAACCCTTTTACGTGCAGACAACCAAAGTAAGGGGTGCCATGCAGCAATTGTACTATGGCACGTGTGTTAGGCCGGCAAGGTCTTCTTCATCTGGCGGTTCAAGCCCGAATGATAGTTCGGGGGGATGTGTTGCTGACTTTGTGGTCATTGGCTCATAGATCGACCCATCAACCCATCGACTTGTGCTTTCGACAATGCGCACGCTATGGTAGTTGGTTTTTCTACTATTAGTCGGTCATTCAGCGGGCCTCTTTCTAATATTGTTTCACTACCCCAAAGCGCTAACTGCAGTTGCTCTCCTTATGGCTTGGAGTCAGTGGATGGTGCTCAGGTGAGTCATAATCAACATGCACATAAAGAGTTGCCAGGCGGCCAGGCCAACCATGGTTGGGACTGTCCCTTTCTATTAAACTACCCGGGCTTCGAGGCCGTGACCTTTTAACCTTCTAATGCTACAGCTTCTTCAATGCTAGGGTCCCACCCAAACCCCGGGAGTTTCGCTGCAGAGGACCGCGGTGACTGTTTCCACTGTTGAGGGGGAGCAAAGAGGGTCCAACATGACCCGGCTTTTGAGGCCGTGACCTGAGGTGCGCCTGGACTACGTCTACTTTCAGAAGACCCCGATTTCCGTTGGCCCCATCGTCCAGAGTCAGGTCTGGCCTCGCGCGGCCGGCAGCGACCACCGCGCCGTGTCCGGAGACGTGGTGCTGCGATAGGACAGGGACTTCCGGAGCGGTCGCGACCAAAAGGGAGTCCTTTTGGGGCATTTGGGTTGCAACTACGCGGGTGGAAACGAGCTTGCCCATGACGGATCCCTTACTTGGATTCCATTTTTCTGGTTTGTGAGTTACAGTACAGTAATTTGCCCAGAATTTGCCCAGAATAGATAATTCAAAACTTTGGTGTCGTTCCTTTTCCAGTGCCATCGACTTGTCCTCTTAAAAAAAACCGAGGGAACAGGAAGCGCCAGTGGGGATACCGAGGCCTCATGTGAAACAGCACTATGTGAAACAGTGTTATTCAACAAAACCACGCGTAAGAAACAACCAGGCAACCAGACAACCAGACAACCCGACTCTTAGCACACTGAGTCGAAGTTCCTCTTTGATGTCCTACATCTCCGATGACGCCTTTGGTTTTTCTTCATTCAATACCAACCAACCCGAAAGTCGTGTCCATTTTTCTGTTGGCCACTGGAGGTCTGGCTGAGATCAGCAGTCTAATTGGTTTGGATCGGTGAGTTGGTGGTTAAGTGCTGGTTTCGTTGATATTTTGCCAGCTGCAAACACCAGGGGTTCAACTCCCCAAGCCACCCTAGGTCCCCCAGTCGTGCCCTTTTACCGTTTCTTTTTTTGGGGAGGGTTCCCCCACTAAAATAGATGACAGAAAAAACGGTTACCCTTATTCTGACCTCTCTACTGGAGGACCTAGCACCAATCCAAACCACTTAGGGGTTACCTGGCAGGAGACCTCCAGCCTGGCACCGACCAGTGGTGCTTTTGCACTTGACACGCTCTTTGCTCGCAAGGGGCGGAGTAATTGGCTTCAAGCGGCCTTCAGGCGGGTTGCGAGAGCTCAAAAACTGGGGGGAGGCTCCTTTCTTCCGACTTCGCGGATTCTGAAGGGAAGCCAAAAGGATATCGCCGACGCTGGATTTCCGACCCATTCCGACCCAGCTTCGGCGCTAAAGGCGGGAGAACACAAGGTCTCGCGTATTTGCGGAGGGTTCTCCCTTAAAAAGCCGCATACTGTATTATCTACGGCCACCCCAGCCAACCAACAGACCAACCAAAGTCTTTGTTGGGGAATTGCAGAAGTTGGATCTGAAACAATATGCACACATCCCTACCCCAACAACCCACGAAGTCCTTGCACCACACATTTTTTGGAGCAACATCTATAAGTGAGAGCTCAGACCCCGGTGAGGTGGCGAGGGACAACCGACATGTAGAATATGTGGATGGAGGAGATCTCGGCTGGTTGTAATTCTGAAATTGGTAGAGCCAACAGTCAATGGGTTTCAGGTGCTGTCAAGTGATGTGTCCTACTACGTTGGCCCGGTATTTGGCATTCCTTCTTGCATCGCCTTAGGGAAGTGGCTGGTATTGGCAACCAGTACCATAGTGCCATTTGTTTAAAGTGTTGTCTATTCGGTGGGATCGTCGGGGCTGCGAATGTAAACCATTTGATTGCTGATTTCTCCAAGGCAACCGCGCAATGAGATGGTGCCAGTTGCCATAATAGCATCTTGCCAGCCTAGGTTTGAAAAGGCTGGTTTTCTTGGTTTGTAGCAACAACGGTAAGCTCACTCCCTGAATTCATGGACTCGTTATTTGGAAATAGCATCTTGGTGGCAACAAACAAGTTTGAGCTTCTTTGGGCCAATCCACTCAGAAATCAGAAATTGAGTAAACAAGTCGAACCACAATGAGATGATCCCATCCCAGCTTTTCACCCTGAGGCCTTTGCCGCGCGGATGCTTTCTGGATCTTACCGGCATCCGACAATCCTGCTTTGAGCCAGTCCCTGGCATAATTCGCATGCCTGTTTTGGTTCCCCACCTAAAGTGGGACGCTTTCAAATGAGCACTCAAAACCCTGGTTGGCCGAGTTGGTGGGTTCTACCCGGTCTGCTCAAGATTTTCAGCAAGTGTATATCTAGATGATTGCAAGACATCTTGGAAACAAGTCCAACAGTCATGGGGTTTTGGGCGTTGCCTGTCTTGGACTTTGCCTCCAGTTTTCCCTGGCAAGTCCACAAATCATGGGATGCTGGCGCCCCGGCTGCCGGATCCTGCCTAGGTGCACACCAATTCGCTGTGCATGTGTTGTCTCACGCACGCTTGCGGGCCACTGTCAAGCTGTTTGCATGTGAAGGTTTACGTAACCTTTGTGACCAGTCCCAAGAGCATGGAGCTATCGCCTTTGGCGAACCCACGGATAGAGGCTCGACTCAGCTTGTGTGCCATCTTCAATCCCGTATTTTTGACATGCCTATGGGCATGAGCATCGAAGCTACGCATAATTGTGTTGTCGCTGACTCGCTGGATGAGTCACGAATAGGCTGCAGATAAAATGGGTGCACGGGCATGTTATTTCTGAATTCATTATGATGTGCACTTCAGTTGCGCGCACGTTGAGCTGGCATTTGTCTCGAGTGAACTCCCCATCAAGTGTTGTTTTTCCTTTTGCGAAGACGCAGATTCAGTTCCGAGGAGTATTTCGCTGACATGGGAATTTGATCAGGCCCCGACAGCTTCTAGATGGGACGTTTCGAAAGGAGTCCCGGAAAGCCTTGCTCTTGGTGTTTCGACACCCGCCTAGACGCGAGGGCCATTGCGCCACTTGGCGTCTTGCCAACAAACACAGGGAGGGGAGACCACGCGGGACCGCAGAAATGGTGGTGGTCCCGTTAGCTTTCCTCCAAACCCAGGGTAACTTCAAGAAGGCGCGATACGTTTCCTGATCAAAACATATTTTAGGTGGAATTGGGGAGGGTCATGCAGCACACCCTTTCGGTGAGGGGAAGGAGAAGACCACTCTGTCTCTAGGCCAACCTGCATACCTGAAATGGACATTCACCATAATTAGTGGTTTTGCACGGTTATACAGGATCCATACCCCAAAATCCATCCCTTTTTCCAAGGCCCTTTGGGTGGGGTATGTCCTTTTTTGGGTATGTCAGTTGGCTCGCCACGGGCTGTTGAGAAAAACCCATGCAGCGGAGTTATGGCACATACTCAGAGGTAGCCTGCAATGCAATCGGGCTGGAACTCGAAGCTGAAGCTCGAAGCTGAAGCTGGGCTTGCGGTCAAGTCATCTGAGCTATGTGGATGGATCTCCATTTTGTAAACTCACTTCCTGAGTTCCGTTTTAGCCTGTGGTCACTTTTTGGGTGTGGACCATGTTGGTGGTATATGAACAGTGTTGACTTGTTTTGCCGATCCACTCAGGAAGTGTGAAAACCATGAAACCCCCAGCTGGGCCAATCGAATTTGACCATCACTTTGTGCTGAATAGGCCCTTTGTGTTTTTTAAGGTTGGCCCCCCAACATGTGTGTGCCTGTGTTAGGGGACCACAATGGTGATGGTCCTTTTGGTTTCCCTTCTTAGAACCCCGAAACAGGGGGGTACGTGTACCCGTAACAAGCACACCCCGCAATGGTTATTTGTCCTTACCCACCCATAGCCCGCGGAACGCGCGAGGCCGGATGCGCAGACGTCGAACGACCTGGAGGCAGGTGCGGTGTGTCCCCATGCCGGAGATTGACAGCTCCAGTGCCGTTTTTTCTATGGAACGGCCTCACCGACTGTTCTAAGCTTGCACCTTATTCTTTCCGCACAACACCTGAACTCGTCATCCGCACTTCCACAGCCCTGCTGAGGTTTAGAGGGAGGCTATGGTGGGGGGACTTTGGTTTCCTCCCCACTCTTACATCCAACAATGGAGCAGGGCAGGCGTGGAAGACCATTTGTGGACCAGATCTTCAAGCCTTTTGTCCACAATGGAAAGCTGATTTCCAGGTACACTCCAAGTTTCTAAGGCCTCGGCTTCCACCCCCCCCGTAAATTTTAAATAGAACTAAGCGGTACATACATGAGTACATATTATCTATATATATATATATTCCGTATTTAATTATTGCTACACAATCAGGCATATACACATACACGCAGGTGTTGCCCCAAGCGACGGGCCCCAGTGACGCGGCCCACCCGAGTCGACGAGTCGACGAGTCGCAACCGAGGCGGCCGCTGCTTTAGGGGCCTGGCTGGAGGGAGGCAAAGCCTCGGCCTTCCGCGCCTCGGGCGATTTGGCGGTGGTCAAAAATCGGTGCCCCACGGTAAATGGAAACATGGACTAAAAGCTGTGGTCCATATCCTGCTGGTTTGATTCTGATCCATACCCATTTGGCTGTGGTCAAAGCCGTTTTGGGATCCCATTTCGGTTGGGATTTCCGGCCTCTCACCACCCATTTTAGGACCTATTTTAGTTGTTGGATTGAATCGGATGTTCACTGGGGGTACGATTTGGAGTTTGACCCATGGCCATTTTTTCCGGATCGAGCCAGCCTGTTTCTCTTTTTTGGAAAAGGGGGCTCCTATTTTGAGAACTCTTTTAGGAACCACCAGTATACCAGTGATTTCTGGCAGAGCTGGAGGTAGCACGATTCTTTCCCCTTTCGCGCCTTCTCTCTCTGTCTCCCTCTCTCTCTCTCTCTCTCTCTCTCTCTTTGTTTCTCTCTCTCTCTCTCTCTCTTTCTGTTTATGTTTCTGTGTTTTTCTTGCATTTTCCCATGTGTTCCTCTCTTTATCGTTATCTTTCTTCTTGTTTTGTTTTTTCCAATTATCCTTCTCTTGATCTTTAGTTTGATCTCTGTTTCTTCTTCCTCTTCATATACCTCCTGTGTGTATCCTTCTCTTCATTGGTATCGTTGTCGTATCCTTATCCTTCTCAGTGTCCTCTTTGTGTTTCTCTGCTGTTCGCTTGTTGCTATCTTTACATTTCCATATTTATGTTCATGTATATTTATATTTGTCTCTTTATCATTTTATGTGTCCGTTTAATATGTCTCTCTCTCTCGTTCTCTCTTTGTCTCTTTCTGTTTTGTTTATGTTGTCCTCTTTGTTCTTCTTGTATTCATCTTTCTCTTGTTTCTCCTTCTCCTTCTGTTTGTCTTGATCTTTATATGTGTTTCCTTGTCTTTCTCATATTT